TCTCAATTTATAATTAAATCTTTGATTCATACAATGAACTGATGGTTTAAGAGATTTAATGGTAGCTGGGAAGACGGCTTTAGCCTTTTCAACTCTGGTTTGGTGTCTTCTAATTTTTCTGAATGGTTGTTTGAACCAAGTGTGAACTTTACTTCTCCAATCTTTACAAAAATGAATATTTGAGACTGCTTGATTGTGTTTCATTCTACCCTTCCCGGTTTGTTCGAATAATTTTCAGTTGAAGGGTTACTCGATAGGTTTTTTTCTTTTCTATTGTTTAATTCTTTTTACTAATTTTATGGTTTCTTCTTTTTTTTTTCTTTTATTATAACAGTTTTTTATTCAAACTAATTTTCCTTTTTTGTTATTTAATTTTTTGTTTATTAATTTTATAATTTTTTTATAAGAAACAAATATTAAAAAAAGTTTTATAATAAATCATTTTATTTTACTATAAAAATGTATTTAATATGAAAAATGATATTTTGAATATTTTTTTTTCTTTTATTATGATTCACTTTTGTGAAACATAAAATAAAAATTAAAGAGAGGTAATAAAAAAATTTGTTATTACTTACTTTTATTTAAAAGCTAAATTAAATAATAGTCAATTAGTGATGATGTTTACATTCACAACAATCGCAATGATCTCTTTTATGGTTTGTATTTGTTTTTAATGGCTTTTTTATTTCATTAACTTTTTTTTCGTTTTGTTCTTCAGAACCAAAAGCTACATTAGAAGAATTTTCATCTTCTTCAATAGAATCATCATAATTTTGTTTTTGACAGTGATGAGCAACTAAATCTTCAACAAAAGAACATAAATCAAACTCAAAAGGTTCTCTTTCTCCAGTATTAATTTCGATTTTTTCAAAGTCTTTCATTCCAATTCCAAAATTTAATACTGTATGAGGATAATTAAATGTCTCTAACATTTCTCCATTTCGAGTAAAGAAAACTGTTTTATTTGTTGAGTTCCATCCACATCCAATAACATCTCCAGGACCAAATGACGTTGTACAATTTAATCCAACTTTTCCATTTTCATTAAATACCTTACCATCATCAGAATGTATTCCAATAGTTCTTTTATCCCATCCAATTTGATGATTTCTAATCATTGTTTTAGTAGAACTCAATCCAACAGAAATCCAACAATATTCTGATTTACCTTTAATACTAACTTCATAATAATGTACTAAACTAGGACAAAGAACAACAGTATTATTATCTTTCCAAAGCATTTGAATTTTGCCTTCTCTATCTAAGTTTGTTGAAGAAACACATCTAATCTCTTTCTTTTTACCTTTCTTTGTTGTTAATGCAGTGTTATTATAGGTGTTTTTTGAGGGTGTTCCATCATGAAAATTTGAGACACATGTTAATTCTCCTTCAAAGAGATCTTCAACAGTTACGCCATATAACTCAACGTTAGTCCCTTGTTCTAATCCAATTTTTTGTTTAATAAAGTCAAGTGCTTCTTTTAATTCAATTTTATGTTCTAATGAAGAAACCTTTTCTTTTAATGAAGTAATTTCATTTTTCATTTCGTTCATTTCTTTAAGAATAGACTTAATTGTATCTTCGTTGATACTACTCATTCAATAATACAAAATGCTCAAAAACTAGTTAGGGTTTTTATTATTCTTTTTATTAAAAAATTTATATATTTTCTTTTGATTAGATTATGTTTTGTTCTTATTCTTTTCTTCTTTTGAAATTATTTGTTCTTGTAATGCTTGGTTATAAATTTTCAAAACTAGTTTTTAAATAATATTACTGAGTTAAATAGTTATAAGTCAATTGAATTGTTTAGACTCGTATAAGTGGAAATGAGTATTATTTCATTAAATACAATTGGTTTGTTAAAAAGTTAATGGGTCTATTTTTATTTTACTTCTATAAGACAACAGGTTTGTTCTTGTGTTGAATAGAATTATCTTTCATTTTTTTATACATTTTTGTTCACACTAACTCCTTTAATTTTTATTTTAAAGTGAAATGAAATGAGATAACAATTAATAAACTAGTTGTGATTATTATTTTTTATTCTGTTTCATTAATACATTATATGTTATTAAATAACATCAATACCCCCAATTTGTATGTCGATAAATATTATTAAATACAATATATTTTTAATAAATTTCAGTTATATTTGATACAAGAGTATTTACTTCTTTACGTTGAGACTCAGTTAAATACAATACTGCATAACAATTTTCACATAATTTGTTAATAATGTTTTTTGGGGTTTTGATAGATAACATCATCTTAACTAATGAATGAATCGTACTAATAGTTTTATCATATTCCTTATCAGAAAATTCTTGATACTTCTCTTTATCACTTCTAATTTGGTTTAATGTAAATAATCCATTATATCCACTAATATCTTTTTTAGAATTGTTAATCATTTTCTTAGCAACTCTATTCCATACTTTAAATTGATACATTATATCTCTTTTTATGATTTTTTGGAGTAAATCATTACATCCATTTCCATAACTCATTCCTTCACATAGCATAATAATACAACTTATTGACTCATCGTCTTGTTCAGTCTCACTTTTTAGACTTGAGTAATTTAATATAGTTAAAATTTCATTTAGTTCTGTTTCTCTCAAGTTAATAGTTTCTCTTATTTTATTTAATTCTTTCTTGCGTTTGTTGAATGTTAATAAAAATTGGGTTCTATCATTCTTTTTATCAACCCAATTTTTAAATTCATCCAATTTAAATTCATTATTTTTTGCATGATTATGTCTTTGAATAAATGATGAAATATAAGAATAACCTTTAATAGTAATATTCTCTTTAATTATATGGATTTTATGAATATCGCCTTTCCATTGTATCTGTTTATCATTATTTTGTTCTTCTGAACTTTTCATCTTTTTTGTAATAATATTATTTATTATATTACTATTAATCTTCCATTCAACAATGCTTTTTTCAAATAATTTCTCATCTTTTGGTTCCAATAATAATGGTTGAAATAAATTTTGTTCATTTTTTCCATATTTTTGAATAATTTGTTTAATTGGTAATAAATATAAATTTTTATCAATAAATTCATTACAAATATTTACAACATTCTTTAAAGTATTTTCAATATAATATACTACATTTTGTGTTTTTATCATTTCTTTTAAAAAGTTATGTTCATCTATACTTCTTTCTCTAATAAATTCATCTTCAAATAAACAGACATTATCATTTTCTGTAATTTTCATTATTCCAAGATGCTCTTCATATCCTTTCATTAATAAACTTATTCCTTTAACAAAGCATAATTGGATATATTCATTGAAAATTCTTTTAGTTAATTTTTTCTCAATAAGTTGGTTTAAACACCATTCACTATCACTTGTCAATATTGTTCTAATTGTTGTTGGTAATTTGATAATTTCTTTCTTTTTTTTCATTACTTCTATACTTCCTTTATCAATATCTACAATGATAACATCTTCGTTTTTGATTATTTCTTCTGCTTCTTTGAAATATTCACCAGGGACTCCTATTATATAAGGGAATGGAGATGTTAGTTGATTAATTAAAATTCGAGGAAGTAATGCAATTGAAATACAAACCCATTCTAATGGAAAAAGTAAAATTTTAAACATTTCAATTGTTTTTACAAGAGTATTGTAATTCTTACAAGTAAATATAATTCTTTCACATAAAATAATTTCACTCCAAATGTCAATGATTTCTGAGATTCTAAAGTGGTAGAATAACTCTGATAATTCTAATTCTGTTTCTTTAATATCTCCTTTATACTCTTTTTCAATAATCATTTTCTTTTCATTTATTTTAATTTCTTTATGTTCCCCATACTTTATTTGTGGGGTTATATACAATTGAGCAAATTGTTCTTCTCTACTTTCAGTGTTTTCAATAATACTTTGTAACCAATCATTCATTTCTTCAAATAATTGTTCTTCACTGACAATAAATATTGCTTCTGGAATATACCATTCATCTGTTATTTCAATCCATTTATTAATTTCCTTTATTTCATTGGCATTAATCTTTCTATCAATAATAAAAGCAAAACCATATCGCTCTTTTCCTTTTGAATTTGTTATTTCAAAAATTCTTTTTTCAAAAGGTCTTTTGCATTGACTTGCCTTCATTCCATTAGGAAAACAAAACATCCATAACTCATCTAATAATCGTTCATCTTTTGGGTATTGCTGAGTTATAGTTCCACTTAATGGGATATTTTCAAAACTTTCTGTTGTGACTTTCTCTTTCATAAAATAGTCTTCTAAATCAAGGTTGAATGGCACATGTTCTATTTTTCCAATTCCAGAAATAATTCCTTTAAATTCTTCTTTATTTTTAGTGATTTCTTTATGAAGAATATAATAACTTTTTCTTCCTGCATTATAACAATAATCTTGTTTAGTTATTTTGTGTTGAAGAATATCTGGTGACTCAATCACGTTAACTAAGTTCTTTTTTATGTCCACTGAGAATTGAAGTTCACCAATCTCCATTGAGTTTTGTTCTAATTTAATTTGTGATAAATAAACAACATTTTTTGGAATTGAGGACAAATGGATAATAGCTTCTGCTATTTTTTCTTCTTTTTTTGTTGAGATTTTTTTGATTAGCGTAATAAAAAGATATGATGACAATAAGATATAACATGTCTTTTCAATTGGAAATATTATTTTTTTATCTTTCTTTACACCACTAGGAGACACTTCCACTTTAAATTTTTGTGTGGGGTTAAAACAAAGTAAATAATAAGAAGATATTTCTTCAAGTTGAATAGATGAAAAAGAAATAAAAACCATATAACTATAATTGATGAGGTTAGGAAAATATTCATAACTATTTTCGTTTTGGTTTATAACTTTAGATGACTTAGTCAATTGAGCTTGAGTCATAAGAATATTGATTTGATTAATCCAATTATTTAATAATGATTCACTCCCTAATAACTCAACTGTTTCGTCTTTGTCTTTAACAATTAATACATTAATTGAAGGTGTTAGTTTTTCAATGGTAACAGTTTCAATTTCTTCTAGCATAAAAGAATTGATAGGAGGTTTCATATCATTATAGCTTTCTTTGCTTGAATATAATGAAAGAACTGAACGTGTTAACACCCAATAACATGGAATCGTGTCACCTTTTTTAAATCCAACATGAGTTAAGGTTAACATCATTAAAGAATGGAACTAGTTTTATTAAGATCTTGAAAATAATTATTATTTTTTTATAAAATGAAATTTATGATAGAATTTTAAGGTATAAATACAAATGATAAATAATAAGTAAAGAGTTAGTATAAGTAAGTAATTAATTTATTTCATCACAAGTTTCAACATTATAAATTCAAAAAAGGAAGTATTATTTTATTCTTTATCATCTTGACCATTATCATGATCATCTGGTTCTTGGCTTTGATGAACTTCAGGTCCTTGACTTTGTTCAGGATGTTCATAATGAAAGTCTTGATTTGTTGGGTCAGCACGTTTAGCCTGACGTCTTCCATTAATAAACATTCCAATGTGATAAACAATCTCTTCGAGAATAAGACATAAAAGAATACAAACAATGGAAATATATATTTGTACATAATTGTTGTTGAGATAGGTGCATAATAACCCACTCACTAATGGCAAAAGTGAATTACCAATACCACTAACACATTCACTAATTCCCATGAACATTGATTTACTTGATTCACTTGCTCTCATTGAATAATATGTTGATGTTTGATATGCAAACCCACCAGCTAAACCACCTACAAAAGCTAAGAACCAATTAACATATGCATTTCTTGAAACAGCAAAAACAATTAACATAATAATATAGAATAATTGGAAAATAAGGAAGAAAATCCTTTTATATGTCCAAATCATAGTTAAAGACATAAGCACCATAACTAAAGTTTGAGCAAGGAAATAAAAGAAGAATATAATACCAATATACATGTCAATTCCTTTTGTTGGTGTACGAACATCTTGGTCTTGAGCTAATTTAACGTACATATTAGAAAGAACAGCAGATGTACCATAAATACCACATTGCATAATATATCCAAGATAAATAAATGTTTTGTTATTAAATTCTTCTGTAGTCCATTTAATTTTAATTGGTTTTTCATTACGTGATAATTCAATACTTTGTTTTGGAGTTTCTACTAAATCTTTTGGAATCTGAATATCAGCTGGTTCTTCTTTTGTCATTTCAATTTCAACATTTTTATTAGGTTGCTCTTCAGTCTTTTTAATCACATCCACATCAACTGCAATATCTTCTTTTTCTTTTTTATTTTTCTTTTTATCCTCCTTTAATTTTTTTAACTTCTCTCTAACACGTTTAGGATGAGAAAATGGATATACTATCATATTAATTAATACAAGCCCAATACATATATAAAGAGAATTAATTCCTAATGCACTTTTTAACATCCCTCCAAATAAAAATCCAAATGCCTTACCAACAGACCAACATACTTGATATAATGATGTATTCCTATTTTCATAACCTAAAGGTGCTTCAAGTCCAACTGTTCCTGTTGTAACAGGCCAAAAGAATCCTGTACAAAATGGCCAAATACAAACAGATACATACAATGCAGCAATGGAATTTGGCCATATCAAAATAACGGCAACAGCTATAATAAAGAATACAAAAGCAATTCTAATTACAATGTATGGATTAAATTTATCACCAATTTTACCACAAATTGGTGTTAATACTGCATATATAATAAATCCAACAGTTTGTAGTAAAGATAAATCAAAAGTTGAACCACCTTTATCATTCATAATTAAAGGTACAACAAGCCAATAAAAATAATTTGCAAAATTAAAAAGAAATCCTGTTAGGCATGCTCTTGGGAAATTCCAAAAGATTTTACCACAGTTTTTTAATATAGCTTTACAAGTAATTGCCATGATATTCACAGTATCTACAAATTCAACTATTAAGTTATTTCTACTAAAAACAATTAATTTCTTTTAAGTAATTTCTTTGTTGTTCTATTTTTTAGGGTGTTTTCTTCTATTTATCTCTCATTTTTCATGTAGTAAATTTTAGAAGTATGTAGGTCATTGTAGAAGAATTACAAAAACTTCCACATAAAATACTTGTATGATTTTTTTGTTATATAAAACTCTTTTTTTAAATAAATAACAAATTTTAATTTTCTAATGTTGAAACGTAATGGTTAGTTTTTGTAGTTATTTAAAGTTAAAAGATCTAAATAATATAAATAAGGAATAAAAGTAAAACAAAATAATAAATTAAGAAAGTAAAAAAATGAAATAGTAAAAAATAATAAAAATAAATTATAAATAATAAAATAGAAGAAAAAAAAAGATGAAACAAATAGAAAGAACAAATTAAGAAAGATGCAACAACACCTAATTTCAAATACTCTTCAAAATGAAATTCCAATGTATCCAGAAACAATCTCTGAATACGTAGAACAATTAAAGAAATTTAAAGAATTTCTTGAGTCATATCATAAAAGAGTTTTAGAGCCATTAGGATTTTATAATATGATGCTTAGAACTAAACAACAAAAATACACCATTCCTGAATATGAAATAGACACTATTATTCCTAATTTTGTTATCATATCAGATCTATATGAAGATATGTTAAATAGTATTAATGATTGTATTGACCTTACTCGTTCAACACAAATAGAAATGCAAGAAAAAGAAGTTGATGCATGTATGGGAATAGTAACAAATGAATTAATTGATTCATATAATGGATTAATAAAAAGATTTAGTCGTTCATATACACAATTTGCTGTTGATTATCCATATGCATTAACTAAACATTCATTTATGTTAAAGTATAATTCTCAATATAACCAACACTGTCTTAAAATACAAAAATCATCTGAAGCATTAAATTATGGTTTAGAACAATTACTTGAAGGAGTTCTTGAATATCCTAATGAATTACTTATTGCATTAAAAGCATTATTTAATAGTATAACTGTAAAATATCCAAGATGGTTTGAATTTTATGACATGATTCAGATTATTGAAACACTTCATAAAAAGGTAGAAGATACCAAAAAAAATCTTAAAGATCATCTTATTGTGGCACAAACAAAAATTGATATTAATTTCCCAGGAGGAGTTAGTACAGAAGAAATTTATGATGAAAATAGAAGACTTGTAAAATATGTTGATGGGATAGTAGAAGATATACAAACATTTGATTATGATGGAACTGAACTTATGCAAAAAGTTTTTGAACCAAAAGAGTCACATGAAGTAAGATTTTATATATTTAATGACACATTATTTATGACAACACAACCAAAAAGATCTATCTTTAGTATAATGGCACATACAGCATTAAAAGGAATTATATTTAAAAAGAGATTTGTTTTAACACAATGTAGTGTTAGAGAAAAGAGTGATAATAGAGAAACTAATAAATATAGATGTGATATTGTTGAAGATACACCTCAAAAAACATTTGTTACAGTTGAATTTGAAGATGACGCTACTCTTCAAATGTTTATCCAAAACCTTGTTAGTGCAAAGTTAGAATTTGCTAAAACTCAATGTTTTGGTGTTACTCCAAAAGACTTCTTATCAAAAGTAAAACAAGAAAAAGGAAGACTTATTCCTAGATTCTTTAGTTATTGTACTTCTGTAGCTATTTCACGTGGAATTAATGAAGAAGGAATATTTAGAATTAGTTCCGAACAAAAGAATATTACAAGACTTATCAGTCGTATTGATAATGGAGAATGGAATTTTGAAATTGTTAATCCTCATGACGCTGCTAATCTTATTAAAACATATTTAAGAACATTACCAGTTAGTATTGCTGGAGACAAATTAGACGAATTTATGGATGCATTAGAAGAACCAGCTCCAAGTGAAGCAATTAAAAAAGTATTTGAAACTATGCCAGAATGTAATGTTGCTATGATGTATGTTTTTGCATTAGTATTAAAAGCAGTTGAATCTAAAAAAGAAATTAATAAAATGGGAATAGACAATTTATGTATTGTAGTTGCACCAACATTTTTCTGGAAAAAAGGAGAGATGCAAAGACAAAATGGCTTTGAAATAGTTCAATATATGGTAAATCATCTTGAAGTTTTTGATGCCATTAGACAACGTGTTGATGAAGAGTTAAAAAAAGATGAAGAAAGAATTAAAAAAGAAGAAGAACGAGCAAAGGATAGAAGAGATTTTGTTTTTGGAAAAGCATCAGAAGAAGAAAAGAAAAGAAAGAAAATTGAAGATGAAATACCAACAATGACTATTGATGAATTTAAGAAAGCTAAATTACTTGAAATACTCGAAAAAGAAAGAAAAGAAAAAGAAGAATATAAAGAAAAGAAAAGACTTGAAAGAGAACAAAAAGAAAAAGAAGAAGCCGAAAAAAGAAGACTTCAAGAAGAGGAAATGGAAAAAGAAAGACTTGAGGCAATTGAAAGACAAAAAGAAATTGATCGTTTAGAAGAAGAAGAAACAAAAGCCAAAATTGAAAGAGAAAAGAAAAGAGCAGAAATTGAAAGAGAAATGGCTGAAATAGAAAAGAGAGAAAAACAAAGACAACTTGAAGAAGAGAAAAAAAGAAAAGAAGAAGAACTTAAACGAATTGAAAATGAAATTAAAAGAAAAGAAGAAGAATTAAAGAAACAAGAAGAATTAAGAAAGAATGTTGCTCAAATTATAGGTACTTGTTGTGTTTGTAATACTAATGTATTAGACACTGAGGATTCACTTAGTGCTGGTAAAAGATTAGTACATGAACGATGTTTTGTTTGCAAAGTTTGTAAAGAGAAGATTTCAGGAAAATTTGCATGGAGAGAAAATGGATTTATTTGTGGAAATTGTGTTATGAAAGAAAACAGTTCTAATCAACCAACTGGAGGTTCAAATTTATGTGGAAAATGTGGAAAACCAGTAGAAGGAAAAATATTAAAGGCTATGGGGAAAGTATGGCATCATGAATGTTTTGTTTGTGCTAAATGTGGCGGGAAAATTTCAGGTGGTTTTGTTAATTGGGATGGAAAACCAGTTTGCAAGAATTGTAAAGATTCCATATAACAAAACATTGATGGAAACTCTTTAATTAACACAATCTTTTTTCAGAAATTCAAATTGTTTAAAATAATTTTGATAAAGTGCGTAATTCTTTTGTTTTTTCTTTATTTAATAATAAATAA